GAAGAGAAGACTCCCTGGAAAAGACCCTGATGTTGGGAAAGATGGAGGGCACAAGGAGAAGGGGACGACAGAGGACGAGATAGTTGGACAGTGTTCTCGAAGCTACCAGCATGAGTTTGACCAAACTGCGGGAGGCAGTGGAAGACAGGAGTGCCTGGCGTGCTCTGGTCCATGGGGTCACGAAGAGTCGGACACGACTAAACAACTAAACAACAACAACAAAATTCAGGAAGGCCAGGAAGACAAGTCTGCAACAAGCATCAAAAGAACAACCATGTTTGCACTTGCTTCGCTTGCGCGGGATGGGAATTCCAAAGAACGGGTGGAACAATGCTAAAATAACATGCATCTTTCACTGCAAGGGTCTGAGGCACCGTCAACAGATCTTCACCCACAGATCTAAGTTTCCAAGGTGGGATGTAGAGGGATCAAAAGAGTATAGGAAGAGCCCACCTAGTCCAGTGTCCTGTTCTCACAGTGGTCATTCAGATGCACCTGAGCCCACAAGCAGGACCTGACTCCAACAGTGCTCCCCCACTTACAGCAACTGGTATTCAGAGGCATAGGGTCTCTGACAGCAGAGGTGGAACACAGCCATTGTGTCTGGCTGCCACTGATAGCCTTGTCCTCCACGAACCTGTCTGGTTCTCTTTTACAGCCATCCAAGTTGACGACCATCACTACCTCTGGGGGAACAGAAATCTATTCTTTCATAAGTGTCGTGTGCAGAAGGCAGCGTCTCTGAGCCTTCAGCTCCCCCAGGTAGAAAAGAGGGGTTGCCTTGTTAACTCCAAAGGACAAGAGCTAGCAAACAGAAAGGTTCAACAGAGAAGAGATCTCAAATGATCGGACCCTAGTTAAAGTTGATCCAGGAAAATGAAGGGGGCAGGAGGAAGAGAAGTCGTACTATCTTGTCTATTCTCCTTTCTGTGTCCACACAGACAGGTCCCAGGCTAACCAAGCATGGACAAAGGCGAAGGCAATAAAGGGGAAAACTGTCACTAGACAGGTCTCAGTTTGTTTTGCACATTCTCAATTCTGCAAATATGTGCATTTGGTTTTAATAAGTCCACAACCAAAACTGAACCTTGGCAATTATGCCAGGGAGAAGCTGGGCCGGAATCCACTTGTTACTTTACAATTTGAGATGAGAAAAGTATTTAATTCCAGTATTGCCAGGCCACATTTGAGAACACCACATTTCCACGTTGTTATAGAGAGTGACTTGAAAATTATAGCATGCACAAATGTATTCTAGTGTGTCCTGCAGTCCCTTTTCTTGCCACCAGTCCAGTACCTGTCTGCTTCCTCCTCTTTAATCTTAGTGTTGGCCTTGTATAAATCACCAGGGGAAAGGTTGAGGGCAAAACTAGAGTGAGCTGGATCTGGCGCCACCTAGAGTTGGCCTCCTTGCCTTCCGCCCAACCACTCCCAATGGGCACCAGCCACCACTGCCTGCAAGCTAAAATAATAATGACTAGGAAACACTGAAAGACTTAGAATCCTCCATGAATCTGTCTAAATGTCTCTTAAGACTTTCCAAGCTGGTGGCCATGACTATACCTCTGGGCAGCAAATCACATAAGTGAACTTTGCAGCATATGATAATTTAGTTATGAGCTCATGAATAAATCTCTCTTTCAACTCAGCAAAGAAACAAGATATAAAAATAAAAAATCTATCCCCCAAAAATCTATACGCACATGCACAACACACCCAAAAATGCAAACTTTGTTGCAGACCCAAATTTTGGAAAAGTTTTAATTTGGACAGTTTTTCCAGTTTGCAAAACTTGGCCCAATTACAGAAGTTAGGGCTTGTAGAATGGAGGCTTTTTTTCAGCCCAATTTCCAGAGAGCTGAAGGATAAGTGCCTAGGAAAAACGCTGCTCTCTGCTTCCGCCTTCAGCTCCTGCCACACAGAATTGGCAGCAGCACAGAGAAGGCAGGAAACAAGTGAAGTAGGACATTTGTAGTTAGAGGGTAGAGAAGGCAGTTGGTAATGACAGCAGAGGAGAAAGCAGGAGCTGTCGGTTGTTTTTGACAGGGACTGTAAGAAACTCAGACAGCAGCCTCAAAAACAGCTCAAAGAGATCCTCTCCTTGCCCCTGCCGGGAGATGCTCAGCTTGGGTATACATAGATAGTCAAGTGGAACAGAGCCAGCAAAAAATAATCAAAGATTCTGAATCACTGACACTGGGAAGATGCTTGAAGGTAAGGATGCCAATTAGAACATACTCCTTTGTCAACTGCCCAATCGCAGAGCCCTCCGCCCAAAGGTCTTTGATGTAAACAAATCCAGACAGACGCCACTGTTTAACTGTGGTTAAGGCAGCTTAACTGCAAACTGGCACAAAGTCAACATTCACAAACCATGATTTGCAACAGGTCAGCAAATCAGAATAATAAAAGGTATGGTTTGATTTCCAGGAATGGAGCTGAGCTGCTTTGCACAGCAAAAGTCACAAAACCTTGGGATACCTTAAAAAGCAGGTTTCATGCGCCAGCTGCAGTTTGGCGCGACGTCCAAATTGACAAGCCAGCTAGTGTCATTGGTCTGCAGCAGGAGGTTGTTGTGCCATAGAAGTGGGAGGGCTGAGCAAACGTAAAACAAAACAGACAAACAGGCCTGAACTACGGTTTGCCTGTCAGAAAATCAAACCATGACTCCACTTATAAGACCATGGTTACTGCAAATTATAGTTTGGCATGGTGCTTGCATTGACAACTGATGGTTTGCGATTGGCTAGCAAGTTACTATCAGAAGCCCTACTTTGGGTTTGCCAACCATATTTTGAGCTACCTGAGATTCAGCATGATGTCTCAACTGACAAACTATAGTAACAGCCATTGATTTGCCTCTATCAGTTCCCCCAACTGGAGACAGAAACAAACTTTGGAAATCCTGAAGCTGAGAGGGTAAAAAACAGAAGCAGACAAGCAACTCTAAAAAAAAGGTTTGCTCGCCAGATGTTTGGATCTTCAAATCACCTCCCGAGTTCTAAGCAGTGGTTAGCGCAAACCATCATTAGCCACAATACCCTCAGTGAGACTTTAAGCCTACACACAGCACTGGGAAGTTATCCATCTTTGACTTTGTCCCAAAGTTTTATCAGACAAAAAAAGCTATTATCAGAAAAGTAGCCAAGACATGGGTCACAAGCTGCATTTAAGAAACAAAATAAAATTGATGTGACAGATAAGTTGTGCATCCTCAGAGATTGAGCAATCAAGTCCATGCCTCCACCCCATAACCAACCCTCCTGGCAGTGGACAGGCGCTGAAACCCTTTGCAAGTGTTTGAAGTCTCATATATTTCAGAATTCATAAGGGAACGGTGGAGCCATATTTGCTGGCCCCTTCCCCTCCATCACATCCCTGTCCCTGCCACCTTCAAAGGAACATAGGAAGAGGCCTTGTGCTGAGCTATATCATTGGTCCATCTAGAACAGGGGTGCCCAAACTTTTTTAAAGAGGGCCAGATTTGATGAAGTTGCTGAGCTTTTTTTTAGGATTTTACCCCAGGACATATACTGCCACAGGGGCTGGATTAAACCGACTGGTGGGCCAGATTAGGCCCCCGAAATGGACTTTGGACATGCCTGATCTAGAACCACTGAACCATTGAGTTGGACGGGCTCTTGAGGATCATCTATTTCAGGGTTCAGCAAACTTTTTCAGCAGGGGGCCGGTCCACTGTCCCTCAGACCTTGTTAGGGGGCTGGACTATATATTTTTTTGGGGGGGGAATGAACAAATTCCTATGCTCCACAAGTAACCCAGAGATGCATTTTAAATAAAAGGACACGTTCTACTCATGTAAAAACACGCTGATCCCCGGACCGTCCGTGGGCTGGATTTAGAATGTGATTGGGCCGGATCCAGCCCACAGGCCTTAGTTTGCCTACCCATGATCTAGTTCAACCCCTTGCAATGCAGGAGTCTTGTACAGGGATCGAACCTGCAACCTTGGCATCATCAGCACCACATGCTAACCAAGCTATTCCATCTCCCTAATCTAGCTCAGTGGTGTCTCCATTGACCAGCAGGGTTTTGGGCAAGGAGTCGTTCCCAGACTTACCTGGAGACGCCACTGGGGACTGAATCTGGGACCTTCTGCACATTTATGTGTGCAGTTTTGCCCAATATGGACATTTTTGCAAACTGGTCTTGCCTACTGTAATGCATGTTTGCATTTTATGTTCACTAATACAGGTATACACATTTATACATAGACTTTACCCCAACACCTGCATTTATGTGCACTTGACTTGGGCTGGAGAACTGCCTTGCAAAATTCGAAGAAGAGCTGGGTTTCTATTTGCATATTGTTTCTGAGAGCACTGATTAGGGAAGACTTTAATCACACTGAATTGAATTTGTCCCCATCCCTACGTATGCAGCCAAAAGGGCATCAGCCACATACAAGAGAGAGGTATCGACAGGCTCTGGGAAACCCCCAGTGTTTGCAGAAGTGCAATGAAAGTTTAGAGGGAGGAAAATGCAATAGGAGGGGATGGTGGAAACAAAAGTGTGTTCAATACCTATGAAATGCTGACTGTAGGGTGAGTGGGAGCAGGAGGTGGAGGAAGGGAGATTGGAAACACAACAGAGAATCCTGAATCCTGAACAGCAGCAACATCTCACTCCTCCCATTATAAACGTGCTAGGGTTCAACAGAACATCTCTGTGTTTTCAGAAAGAAGCAGTATCCTTTATTATTGTTGTTGTTGCATAGCCCTAACCCCATCCTTTCCCCTGTTTGAAGACACAACAGAAATCTGCAAATAAAATTCAAACCCGTACTCATGATTCTCACACAACCCGCCAGACGATTCCGTATGGGAGCAAGCACCCAAACGCTACTCTTCCTCCCTAGACGCAACCATCGTTAGAAACACTGGATGAATGCGATGGGAGTTTTGGTTGCAGAAGGACCCCACTTTCCCCTGTCCCAAGAAGAACCTCATTCTCACCCCACTGTTGTTGTCTTGCCATACCTTTGCTTTGGGGAGGATTCTGGCTCCGATCTCGGAGAACGTTGATCTGGTAGACAGCTCCGTAAGGCTCAAAAAGTTCCTTTAGCTCCTTTTCTGACCACGAACGGGGGATCTGTCCGACAAACATCTTAATGGCATCTGGGTCTGGCTGATCTGAGTGATCCAAAGCTCCATTCATCTTGTTAGCTGTGCCGTTACTGGAGAGAGAGAGAGAGAGAGAAAGGGGGAAAGGAGAGCTCCGTCAGCGGGAACATTTTCTCTTTTTTGAAATAATGTCATTTGCAAGCAGAAAAGGAGTAACAAGCAACAGTCAATGGAGAGGGAAATAGAGCACAACTAACGCTTCCAAACTGATTAAGTGCCACCGCCAACAAAATACCATGTTAATGCCGTGAACAAACAACAGCGAAAATGTGTCATTACGTTATTCTCCGACTGCAAGCCGCTGCTTGAATCCATCACGTACAAAGAGGGTGCCAAGCTCAAGTCACAAAACGGCGCTTGTGGCTCTCAAAAGAAAAGGCCATTTTAAGGAGACGTACGGGGGCTACTGTACAAGCACGCTGCTCTCCGGCAAAACAGAAAATCAGCGCAAGGACACCCTTCCCCCACGAGGGCTCCCGAGGCGGCAGAGTATCCGCCGCCAGTGCAAGTGTGTTTGGATTCTGAAACACTCAAAAGTCACGTGAAAGGGCATACAAAGCAGCCGGCAAGATATCCGATGAGTAATGCAAAAACCGGCCTCTGCATGTGTCATATTGTTGCACAAAACAGGAAAAAAATGCTCCGGCCAGGCAGATTCCTTGCTGCCAATATAGTGTAGGACAAAGATATTTTACTTCCTGCAGCAGAATCCAAATAGTGGCCTCCTCCACTCCTCCTTCGCTTAAGAGCCAATGCTTAAAAAAAACACACAACAGCAACACCTCACTGCATTATTCTGATATCCGTTTCTGCCTTCATCTGTCCCCCCTATACTCTTCCACCTGAAGCAGTCTGCTTCATGGCGAAGAAGGCTGTGCACACAATTCTGTTCACTCTGGCTCCGGGGTTTTTCTCATCACCGGTGTGAGGTCATATGAGGTCAGCCACAATCCACAGGTCCTCTGAGAAGTACAGTGGTACCTGGGGTTACAGACGCTTCAGGTTACAGACTCCGCTAACCCAGAAATAGTACCTCAGGTTAAGAACTTTGCTTTAGGATGAGAACAGAAATCACACGGCGGCAGCAGGAGGCCCCATTAGCTAAAGTGGTACCTCAGGTTAAGAACAGTTTCAGGTTATATAATAATAATAATAACAATAATTTATTATTTATACCCCGCCAATCTGGCTCTCCCCAGCCACTCTGGGTGGCTCCCAATCAAATGTTAAAAACAGTACAGCATCAAATATTAAAAACTTCCCTAAACAGGGCTGCCTTCAGATGTCTTTTAAAGATAGGATAGCTGCTTATTTCCTTCACATCTGAAGGGAGGGTGTTAAGAACGGACCTCCAGAACGAATTAAGTTCTTAACCCAAGGTACCTCTGTATTCCCGTTTGATGCAGTCCCTCAAACCGGCTCCCAGCCTACCTGAAAATGGAAGCCGTGGTTAAGCTGAAGTGTGTCCCTTTCAGGCAGCCAACTGCACATGCGCAGAGAGCAATGCATGTGCAGATGGGAGATTCAGGGAACTGGAGTTGGGTGCAGGGAAACGATTCAGGGAATGAGCAGCAGGGAAAAGAAATCTCCACCCTCTTTGTGGTCTGCACACCAACGTAAGAATGCAACTTGAAACACAACAGGGGGAATGGAACTTCCTGCATCTCAAGCCGCTAATGTGTACAGTGGTACCTCTAGTTATGAACTCAATTCATTCCAGAGGTCCGTTCTTAACCCAAACCGTTCTCAACCTGAGGCGTGCTTTCTTTAATGGTGCCTCTTGCTGCTGCTGGGCTGCTGGTACACGATTTCCGTTCTCATCCTGGGGCAAAGTTCTCAACTCGAGGTAACTCTTCCAAGTTAGCGGTGTTTGTAACCTGAAGCGTTTGCAACCTGAGGCTTTTGTAACTCGAGGTACCACTGTACATCACTCAAGTTGCTAATAAATTACCTATAATAAAAAAAGAAAAGAAAAGAAAAGAAGGGAACATGCTTTATTTCAACTTAGGAGCCCATCATCTGTTTTATATGGTATAAACTAAAAAGAAAAGGGGTCCTAAAAACTATTAAAGTCCTGTAAAGTGCAAATAAGATACAGTGGTACCTCGGGTTACAGACGTTTCAGGTTACAGACGCTTCAGGTTACAGACTCCGCTAACCCAGAAATAGTACCTCAAGTTAAGAACTTTGCTTCAGGATGAGAACAGAAATCGCGCGGCAGCAGCAGGAGGCCCCATTAGCTAAAGTGGTACCTCAGGTTAAGAACAGTTTCAGGTTAAGTACGGACCTCCGGCACGAATTAAGTACTTAACCCAAGGTACCACTGTACAGAGTCAGGTGTTGGTCTGACACAGTCAAAATAAATTAAAAAATTAAAAAACTGTCCAGCAGCACCTTAGAGACCAACTAAGTTTGTCCTGGGTATAAGCTTTCATGTGCATGCACACTTCTTCTGATACCAAGATACAGTGGTTTACCTGTAGATTATGAGCACTGTTTAGGTTGGCAGAGTAGTAGCCAGCAGGATCTGACCCTTGAGGCACATCTCACTGGAGAGTTTCCTTTGACCAGTGTAATTAATGGAAACAGCATGAGAGAAGCTCCCCATTCACTACAGTGATACTGAATCAAGTTATTTCATTCATTCATGTATACAATTAGTTCTATGCCCCCTTTAGGGGAACGGCCCAACCATGTTGACTCACAGCAATATAAAATGTTATGAAATCAACAATAACAATAAAGGGAGCAGTGATAAATCGCCATTAAAACCCCTAAGCACAATACAGTTCAGAGAGCTTCACCACATTCACACAATACATTGAGAACACTGTGATATCACCTTAAAACACCCCAAAGAATTCTGGGAGTTGCAGTTTGTTAAAGGTGTTGGGAGTTGTTAGGATAGTTCCTCATCCCCGTCACAGAGCTACAATTCCCAGAGTTCCCTGTGAAGAAATATTGATGGTTATAAACCACTCTGAGAATTGTAACACACTGAGAGGAAGAGGAATCGGCTGACAACCCTCAGCACCTTTCACAAGCTACAGCTCCCAGAATTCTTTGGCGGAAGCCATACCCATTTAAAGTGGCATCATGGTGCTTTAAATGTAAGGTGTGAGTGTTACCACAACTTTTTAAAATAAAATAATTGAATGTGGAAAACTGAATTTAAAGACTGGAATAATGAGAAACTCAAAGGAATTGAAATGGACAGATTCCCCCATCCTTTGCCTCAAGTGATGGCCTTGTGTGCCCACACTGTCTGCCTCATTCAAGGGTTAAAGCCTGCGGACACAAGGCAAAGATGGCGTGCGCCGCTCACAAAGGAGGCACAGATTACATATCGGAAGAGGGGAGACCACGAGTGCGTTCCGTGCCCCGGGGCTACAAACTTGCGCACCGAGAAATCACTCAGCTGCCCCCGCCTCGTCTCTCCCGAAGCATAAGCACACCTGAACACATTAATATGCCTCGATTAACTCCTTTCTTCGCAGCCCTCCCAAGTCCTGAAAGGAGCGAGGGAACGGCATGAAAGACAAGTTTCAAAACCAATGGTGAGAAGTTTGATCACCAATTCCGCTGCTTGCCTAACCTGGCCTAACCTGGCACCATTCTGCCATTTCAATTACCCAACGTTGCCTCTCTCTATCTCCTGGGTCCCTTGGATCACAGTTGGGGTGTGGAGAAGAGGATGGGGTTCCAGACATCCTTTTAGGCATGCTGCGGAACTTGATCTCGGATCCCAGAAAGGCGACTGCCAAGAAAAATCATTTGACTCCCCCTTCCATTTTTCTCCTTTCCCTACAGCAAGAAACACTCATCCTTCTCCCTCTTCCTGCAGATCAAACTCAGCTTTCTTTATTCCATCAATGCATGAAGCAGGAGGTAAGGTTCGTTTTTCACAACTGGCCCTTCCCCTCGCCCAAGCCTCAAATGTCACCTGGGCAGGTGAGAGGCTGATGTGATGGTTCTTTTTCTTAATATGAGGGTGTGCCCTGCTTCGTTAGGCTGCCTGTCTCAGAGCCACAGTCAGGACCGGCCCACCCATGAGGCAAGGTGAGACAACTGCCTCAGGCAGCAAGATCTGTAGGGACAGCAGATCCTGATAAAGAATCACAGCATCCCATGCTCTACCAACTGAGCTAGATCTTTGTCTCCCTCTTGTTCCTGATGTACATAGATCTTCCCTCAACCCTTCTTCATATATATATATGGTCCCGTTTCATTAATTGTTCTGGAGAGGACATGTGGTCAGAAGCAGAGAGATGGGGAGCTTTAAAAGGATTAAAGGTTTGACATTGATGCGGAGTGCGACCGGGAGCTTAAGGAGAGGCGTGATGACGTCACGGCTGATGGGAGAGGAAGACTATGCTGCGGTATGTATTATTTGTGCATGGGGGAGAGGGATAATGCATTAACAGGATTGCTAATCCCAGTTTTAGCTGCTGTGGTCGGGAGCGCTGTTGTTGTTTTAAGTGCATTCTGCTTTCCTTCCTGCAAAATTGGATAGAGGGTTTTGCTTGTTCATGTTGATTGCCACGTTGTGTAGCCTGAGGTTTCCGGAGGCCCGTCCTCGTCGCTGCGCAGCTGCCCTTCCAAGCAAGGAAAGGAGAAGTTCGCACCGCTGAGCTTGTGTTCGGGAGCCGAGTGCCAACTCCAGAGAACTAAATCCAAGCAATTAACTCCAGGAAATGCTGCGCGATGCAACACATTTCAAGATTGGCACAGACACATGTGACGGGCATACCAGCCGGATTTAAGAGATGCAGGAGGCTATTTTAGTAATTTCGAGAGCGCATGACCCAAACGAAAGCTACGTTGATCGGATCCAACGCGGCTGCATTATCTAAATAGCTTCCTTGAAAACAAGACTGGAACTCCCAGCTGGGCATGCTTTAAAGCAGGGCTGTCAGGTGCAAGACCCAAGAGCATTGCCAGAGCTTTTGGAGTCCCCGCAAGCAGCCTACACAACCCACACTCCACAACAACTGATTGAACGGCTTAGGGAGCAAAGGACCTGCTCCTGCGTGGTTCGACACCAGCCTAAGGG